TTTGGAATTCGCAAATTCCCACGGAACAACTAGTACACATTTGTGAACCAGAGTGGCGATGATAGATGATCGTCACGGAGTAATATCAGATGGGTGGATTACTGTAGGCGTCCGACCAACGCGCGTCGCAAATTCGCACCGGCCAAAAGGGAGCATAAACGCGCCGTTCATATCCCTTGGTACGATAAATTGGCGAAAAGTATTTTCTACTTAACAAATTAAATGCCTTACTATATGTTTGCACTGATTGCCACACACTCAACTCCATGCAGCACCCAGGCGCACTCAGGGTCGCCCATCGATAAACATTCTGTACATGACTGGAGACGATGACACGCCGACGATGGCAGTAGAATGAGCTGAAATTCTTTTTGTACTGTTATCCGCGGACGATGATAAATTGCTCAGAGAATCTTCATCTTTCATTTTGGAATAGAGTACACTACCGGTGTTTGATCACTCTTTTTCAGGATGCGCCATGCCTTCAGCTGTCATTTGAAATCGCTGAATGATCGCACATTTTGGTGACCCCCGAAATGACTCAGGGAGAACCATCGTGACGTAGTTTCTTTCTTTCTAGTAGAGCCTATTGAATTTTAGAAGCTTTGGAGGATTCTGAGGTGTACTATCGAACGCAAAAGCATGGAGCGTTTGTCTTTAGCCCCTATATAATGACTTGTGCGAGTCAGCCGATCCTTCCAGACAAGCTTGGCTGGAGGACAAACTCACCAACCAGAGGTTTAGTGGCTCGCACACGGTCTAGAGATCAAATCCTGGACGGCGCACGATTCAGGATTTGATCCCCTGACCGTGCACACGGTAGGCAGTGCCACTTGCTACTAAACCTACCTGAGTTACGAAAATACAATGTAAGGGCGGTACGCTTTTCTCCCACTGGGCATAGACTCGCATAAATCCTATTTTCGAGGCAGAAGTGGCTCGAAGCGTCAAATCGCTGTCGAACCGCTGCAAGTGATCTCGCCTTGACAAACCTATACTCTTAGCCTTGATAAAGGATGCTAGAGCTGCGTAGGAGGTCGAACTGTTGACAAGAAACCAGATACCGTGTATGATTGGTAATCTAGGTTGAGCAAACGGAAATGACGGCGAAACTAATGGCATATCCCGAAAAAGTGGCTAACTTTGCTCAAATTACTTTTTATACCTGGTAATGATATCCCTTCCATAATGATATGATGTGCCTCGAAGTGCTCGAAAGCGTTAATTTCCCTATATTCAACCTCTCCTTACCTGAGTTGGAGTAAGAATAAGTAACTTTTTGGCAGTTTGTTGATTTGGTAGTCGTTGTACGTGTGCTGAGAGAGAAACGATTGGGGTTCCTGCCTGTAAAAGACTTCCATTATGATCTTCGTTTATTTCTACAAAATGCCTTTTTATAGCGAATCAGCCCAGAAGTGCTGTTAGGAACGTGTTCATCCTCAGCGTATTTTCTTCGCGGTTGGGGAGCGAGAAT